CTACCTTTTTTTTTGTTCCGGCAAACTATACGGCCGGCTGCGCACTACCACGCCCGGCTCAGTCTCAATGTGGTGCTGAATGAGGTTTGTGCGACCAGGCAGGGGCGAGAACACATCTGCAAATTCAGCTTGCAACTTGGCCACATCAGTGAGTTGTGAGGGCGAGAGGTGATCTCCTCCTGGGGCCAGAGTGAGAGATTGATTTTTAGTGTTCACTTTTGGCCCGAGATCTTCCTCTCCACTCACCGCCATCGCCAACATCACTGACTCCACCTCGCTCCACTTTTTAAGGAGATTGAGATGGTAAATTTGATGTGCCCCGCTCCTGCCTGATCGTACTACCTCATAATTGAGATCTCCAACTCGTCGTGTGACCTCAAAGGGTCCTTGCCACTTGGCGAGTAATTTGGAACTAGAAGTTGGGGGCAATACAAGTACTTTCTCTCCCGGTGCAAATTTGTGTAATCTGGTTCCCCTGTTATACAACCGGCTTTGTCTGCCCTGAGCCTGTAACAAATTCTCCATAGAGAGCCGCCCCAAAGTGTGGAGTTTTGTTCTCAGGTCCAGTACATACTGTTTCATAATTTCATTTTTACTGTCCGAAGGTCCGTCCTCCCAAGTTTCTCTTAGAACGTCCAACACCCCGCGGGGCTGACGTCCGTAGAGAAGCTCGAAGGGGGAAAACCCCGTGGAGGCTTGGGGGACCTCACGCACGGCAAACAAGAGGGGTTCCAGCCATCTGTCCCAATTTTTGGCGTCTTCATGAACGAACTTTCGAATCATGGTTTTTAATGTGCGATTAAATCGTTCGACCAGACCGTCTGTTTGTGGGTGATAAATGCTGGTGCGAATCGATTTAATGCCCAATAGTTCGTAAAGTTCGCGGAGAGTCCATGACATAAACGCCGTGCCTTGATCGGTGAGAATCTCTTTTGGGATTCCCACCCGGGAGATTAGATGAAACAATGCGTCCGCTACACTTTTCGCGGAAATGCTGCGGAGCGCCACTGCCTCTGGGTATCGTGTTACATAATCCACTAGGACTAATGCAAAGCGATGCCCATGTGCAGATCGTTCTAATGGCCCGATGAGGTCCATGCCAATTCTTTCGAAGGGGACCTGCATAAGAGGGAGAGGGCACAATGTGCTTTTGGGGTGGCCGGCGGGTTCACCAGCTGACATTCACGACAAGACGCGCACCACCTGCGCACATTCTCATGAATGCCCGGCCAGAAAAATCGGGTCATTAGACGATTAAGTGTTGCTGCTTGTCCTAAATGTCCGGCCATCGGATTACAGTGAGCCGCCTGGAAAAGCATTTCCCGACGGCTTTTTGGTACCAATAATTGGGTTGTATCTTGTTTTGACTGAGTGTCTTGGGTCACTCGATACCACCTGTCTTTTAAAATAGCAAAATAAGGATAGGAGAGCGGTCGAGTCGGTTGGAGAAGCTGCCCGTCGATGGAACGGACCTGTTCAAAGGCGTTTTTGAGCGTTTCATCCTGAGACTGTTCCAGGGGAAAATCATCACACTCTGTGAGGTTTCTCCTCTCAACAGCGCTCTGTTCCCCTGTCTCAGTTCCCATTGGTCCCGGCTCAGCTTCTCCTACCTGTGTGACCGCCCCCTTCCCCGCTCTCCTTTCCCCCAAGAGACATCCGCACATAAATGCCCCAATAATACACTAAAACCTGGCCAATTTGTTCCCAAAATTAGCGGATGTCCGAGGTGCAGGCTAACTGCAACCTCTACCCTATGCTTTTGTCCCCGAAATTGAATAGCCACGGACATTAAGGGGTAGTTCACCACATCCCCGTGCACACACCGAACCTTAACCACGCGGCTCTTATCCAATGCCTCCGGCTGAATCAGGCTTTGATGAATTGAGGTTTGGTTACATCCCGAATCCACCAAAGCCTGATACGTACCCCCCTTGATACTCATGGGTATTTGGTACAGGCCAGCTTGATCGGGAGCAGCCTGTTGGGCATCCGGGACCCGGATCAGTGTCCCCACCTCCATCACTGGACACCGATCAATAAAATGACCTGGGTCCCCGCAACGCCAACAGGCCGACCCAGGCCTCCCCGCTGCCCTAGTGGCAGGAAGCGGGTCAAGGAATTGGCGTGGAGAGAGCGGAGGAACGGGAGTTGCGGCTGGGCTGATGCTGGTCGACCCCGCCCCCCTGGGTGGCGCCCTCAGGGCAGCTGTTGGTTCTGTCCCTGGACCACTCCTCCACCGGGGTGGGGCTCATGGAGGGAGATTCCCTCTGGATCTGGAAAAAGGGGCAGGTTTGGAGGGAGAGAGACAGATGGCAGGGGTTCGCCGACCCCGGGGCATGCCACCATCTGGTCCTCCGCCAGTTGGATGGCCTGTTTCAGCGATGTCGGGCGGTGGCACTGGTCCCTCAAACAGGTCTATGAACACCTTAGGGTCGTCCTGGGGACCCATCTTATTGAGAGGCACGTGAGTGGGCGGGGCTGGGGCAGATGGAGTTCCCGTAGCCCAAACCTCCCGGTCAATCCAGCTCCGGAACAGCTCGCGGTCTTCCTGCTGGGCTTGGATGAGCACTCGGAAACACCGTTCCTGATCGTCCCTCATGCCCAGCAGTGCCTGATGGTGTTCCTGGTGAATTGGATGACCTCCGCAAATGGCGATCCTGGCGGGGACTGCATGATGGCGGCGGCTGACTTCAGGAGTGTGATGTGGTTCAAAGTGTGGAAGGAAGAAGACAGGGTCGGTGTGACTGGGACTCGTGCTTTATTTAAAGCTCTCTGGCACAAACAAAAGAAGTGGCTCCCACTGCGCTTTCAATAACTCAGAATATAAATCCGCATACAATTCCTTCTCCAATAAACAGTCTCCCCGTGTGGCTCGAGTTCCCAGTCAGTCTCTCTCCCTTGCTTTCCGATTACTGGTGGCTTTTATCCGGTCTCTCCACACCAATTACTGAAACGAGACACAGGTGTTTATCATTTGCCTCTCTCTCCCGTTGCAGACCTCGCTGAACCACGCCCCCCTCGCCACACAGGGGAACTGCGAACTTTAGATCGCAGCCTCGCGTTTCACTCGCTCCCGGTCAATCCAGCTCCAGAGTCTTCCTGCTGGGCTTGGATGAGTGCTCGGAAACACCGTTCCTGATCGTCCCTCATGCCCAGCAGTGCCTGATGGTGTTCCTGGTGAATTGGATGACCTCCGCAAATGGCGATCCTGGCGGGGACTGCATGATGGCGGCGGCTTTCTTCTTCCTTCCCGGGTTTCGGCACCAGTGTGATGTGGTTCAAAGTGTGGAAGGAAGAAGACAGGGTCGGCGTGACTGGGACTCGTGCTTTATTTAAAGCTCTCTGGCACAAACAAAAGAAGTGGCTCCCACTGCGCTTTCAATAACTCAGAATATAAATCCGCATACAATTCCTTCTCCAATAAACAGTCTCCCCGTGTGGCTCGAGTTCCCAGTCAGTCTCTCTCCCTTGCTTTCCGATTACTGGTGGCTTTTATCCGGTCTCTCCACACCAATTACTGAAACGAGACACAGGTGTTTATCATTTGCCTCTCTCTCCCGTTGCAGACCTCGCTGAACCACGCCCCCCTCGCCACACAGGGGAACTGCGAACTTTAGATCGCAGCCTCGCGTCTCACTCGTAGCTGAGAGATGGCGTGACTGACTCCAAAACCTGCCCAAAAACAAACAGTACTGAGATTAGGGAACATATTTTAACATAAAATTAAATTACACTCAGTATTATAATGAATAAAATCCATTTATGTTATGCAAGGCAAAGGCTTTTCCAGTGCGAAATGACCGCTGCTGACACAGCTGACTGACATGATCTCGTCCTTATGTTGTGTTGCGTAAAACAATATAATTTACACCACATTAAAGATAAATAAAAGATAAATAAATTAAATGTATACAAAGCTTTATTTCCCAGAAAGAGTGCAAGAAATCGGCGGTGGCGGGGCTGAGAACTGCTCTCTCCTGTTGACTAAAAAGCCTGTGCTCTCAGCAGCTGCGTTGTTGAGAAGTTTCATCGGAGACAGGGTCAACCCAGCGTTTAGGTAGAAAAAAATAACCCAGCGTTAAAATGACCCAGCACCTGGGTAAAAATATTAAAAACAACCCAAGAAAATGACCCAACAGACTGAACCCAGCATTTGGGTTAAAAAATATATAACCCAGCGTTAAAATGACCCAGCACCTGGGTAAAAATATTAAAAACAACCCAATAAAATGACCCAACAGACTGAACCTAGCATTTGGGTTAAAAAAAATAACCCAGCGTTAAAATTACCCAGCATCTGGGTAAAGATATTTAAAAATAACCCAATGAAATGACCCAACAAGCTGAACACAGCATTTGGGTTAAAAAAATAACCCAGCGTTAAAATGACCCAGCACCTGGGTAAAAATATAAAAAAATAACCCAATAAAATGACCCAACAGACTGAACCCAGCATTTGGGTAAAAAAAACAACAACCCAGTGTTAAAATGACCCAGCACCTGGGTAAAAATATGAAAAATAACCCAATAAAATGACCCAACAAGCTGAACCCAGCGTTAAAATGACCCAGCACCTGAGTAAAAATATAAAAAATAACCCAATAAAATTACCCAACAAGCTGAACCCAGCATTTGGGTTAAAAAAATAACAACCCAGCATTAAAATGACCCAGAACCTGAGTAAAAATATTAAAAATAACCCAATAAAATGACCCAACAGACTGAACCCAGCATTTGGGTAAAAAAAAATAACCCAGCGTTAAAATGACTCAGCACCTGGGTAAAAATATTAAAAATAACCCAATAAAATGACCCAACAGACTGAACCCAGCATTTGGGTTAAAAAAAATAACCCAGCGTTAAAATGACTCAGCACCTGGGTAAAAATATTAAAAATAACCCAATAAAATGACCCAACAGACCGAACCCAGCATTTTTTAGAGTTTGGGTATCCTGTTCCTTGACTGTGATAAGAATGTTTTTAAAGTCTTGCAGTCTTTAGAAGTATGAATCACATGAATTATAGATAATGGTGTAATTATGTGAAAACTGCAGTATTTGTAAACAGAGCTTCTCTACAGGGCGTGTTCCTCTTCAGTGCGGTGCAAATGGTTCCTCTTACAATGAACAACTATGTGTTCCCTAAATGGGGGCAAGGAGTGGGCTGGCTCATGGCTCTGTCCTCTATGGTTCTCATACCTGGTTATATGGGCTACATGTTCCTCACCCTGAAGGGAACATATAAAGAGGTAACTGTTTTCATTTAGAGCTGAAAGTAAATATAATAACGAGTGGTATAGACGGTATATCTGTGCTCACTGGAGCTGGTTCTGGGCTCATTTCAGCGGATCAGGATAATGCTGCATCCTCCAGCAGTCACGCGTGCTCAGCAGAACGGGCCAGACCAACAGCAGCTGCAGATGGAGCAATCACCGCAACAAGAGCAGCAACCGGACCAAGCACCACAGCAACCACAATCACCACAAGCACCGCAGCAACTGCAACAACCGCCGCAGACGCAGACGCAGACGCAGACGCAGATGCAGCCGCAGGCTGATAGTTCCTCTTCGACTAACCCTGGCAATGATGCCAATGTTTAAAACCAGTAGAAGTGAACCACAGCAGAGAGCAATCAAAGATTAACAACACAGAAGACTTCCATGTTTATACAGTAATAGAATCATCTACCTCCAGGGGTCATACATAATCAAGCTAAAACATGAAAAAAGCAAAAGTAAAAAAAATAAATATATAAAAAAAAAAAACCACAAACACAAAAACACTTGCATTTGAAAAACCTACACAAATGAATTCTGTACGTTTTTCAAATGTGAAGCAAAGCGTGTCAGTGTTAAATGACTTGTACTATGTATTATGTGAATTTGTCTCTACTAAGGTTATACTGTGAGTTAGATTTAAGGACAGTGCATTGTTTTGCAATGCATAAGCTATTTATGTGAGGTATGTACTGTTTCTATGTTGCAATGGGGACAAAGTGGGAGTGTCAATGAGAAACTGGGAGAGATTATGTTACATTCTGGGTTATTTTTGGATAACCAAGGTGTATCAAGCAAGCCCTGTGTCTAAAGCACAAATAATTTCTAATAGGCAGAGAGCCCTTGGGTGACCCGTCACGTGTTGTTGGAGATTTTTGTTGAGAAAGACTGTTACTATTTTTTTTTTTTTTTCTGAGATAAAAAAGTAAGAAATACTTGTATGTGATTAAAACATTTTTAGAATTATTTTTAGAATGCTTTGTACTTTAATGTTGAGACCAAGGACCAAAATAATAGACTTAAGCAAAAACAAATCTATGCCTGCCAATGTGTAGTTTGTAAAGCACAGGGAACAAAAAAACAACAAAAAAAAAAA